TCTACCGCGCTGCGCAGCGCTGCACTGGGTAATAAAAAGAATATACAACCGTTAGTTGGCGTCCTACACAGGCATGACGTTTTTACGAACGGGACTTTGCTCTCTTGTTCTATTTATACTCTTTGCTGTTACTTTCCTATTCATCCCAAAGTCTTTAATTATAGCAAGGCAAACTATAGTGGAAGCGTCATTTTGATCCACTCATGCATTTTCGAGATATTTAGGTCTTGGACCTAGTGGCCCTCAAATGCACACCTGAATTTGGATCGTCACCAACACTTCATAATTTCTACCTTGTAACTTGGTTAAACTTCCACGAAAGATTTGTTTTTGATATGTCTGGTCTGGGACGTTTTCCTTTGAATGGTCATATCCACACCCTACTTCGGATGGTCACCAAAATTTAAAAATTTCTTTATCGAAACATGACAAACTATTCTGGTCAGTGTCATTTAGAGCCCCTCATTATTTTTAGAGATATTTAGGTCTGTATCTTAAATGCCCCTCATATTCACATCCGAATTTGGATCGTCACCAACACTTGATAATTTCTTCCTTTTAACTTGGTTAAACTTCATTAAAGTTTCATTCAGATAAGTTGAGTTTTTGAAATATCTGGTGTAAAGTGTTTGCTCTTAAATTCATTTATTTGGCCCTCACATCCACACCCTACTACGGACCGTCACCAAGATTTAATAATTTCTTCATTGTATCATGCATAATACTCCCTGTTATTTTCATTTTTATCCGTGCAGCCGGTTTTTAGATAATTCAAACACAATAAAACACACAAAACACGAAAATATGACGAACACACACACACACATACTTACACGACTGAAAACATATATCTCCTGGTGGAGATATAATAATTCATTCTTATTATAGCGCATGTGAGCAAGCTCTCAATGCTCTGTACATAAAAACAGAATATGGATATAATGTTAAATTAATGCAAAGCTTGAAGGAAAAGGTCTTTAGCTTTGTCTTTAAAGAGTTTAAAGTGACACGCTGTGTGGAAATTAGTAAGGAGTTCCACAAAGTGCACAAAAAGGCTGAGCGAAGCAATATATTGCTATTATGACTTTTTGGTGATGTTATAATAAATGGCGATTCTGAACAAATTGAATCAAAACAAAATATGTCTGCTTCACCAATGAAATATGTTCATTCAAACATCTGCTTTACTGATAGCATCGTGGAGAAATAATACAAATATTAGGCCTATTAATTATAATTAACTAAACTACCGTAACTGTTGGGTCTAGACAAAATAAAATCTCCAATGATGCTGAGGCAACAGATGGCGGTAAGAAAAATGAGATTCTTCGGTCATGCCATCCGCCAGGGAGGCCTTGACAAAGAAATAATACAGAGGTCTGTCGACGGAAGCCGAAGAAGAGGACGACCAACGGCATCATGGACAACAAAGAACATAAAGGAACGGACTGGACAAGGGCTGACAGCAGCATCGATCATTGCTAGTGATCGAGAGTGCAATAGCGATGGTCACCGCAGCGCAATTTGCGCTATCTGACTAAAGAGAGAGATTAAAAATACATTTATTTTTGAATCATTAAATCTATTTTCTATAACTGTCCTACTGGTCCCGTATACTAATGCAATCTTCTTTATTCAATTGCTGTAGGCCTACACTAATTAAAAAAAAATATTAAAATTAAACTAACAAATGTGCGAGCATTAGGCCAAATAAAATGACTTGGTAGCCTCATGATAAAAAACATTCATTTTCCATGGACAATAAAAATAATGACTATCTGGAAGAATGATGTAAAACCTAAGAAGAGGTGGGAACGTAATGGCAAAAATAGATTACAAAGATTCATTTTACTTCTTTTATAAAAAAAAATATTGTTACTATTTACCAGCCTGTTTACCATTAGTATATAGGATAGTAAAAATCAAATAGTAAATACCCTCACCAAAAAAATTCGAATCCCGGACGTGCAACTAACAATTAATTTTATTTGGCCTTAATGAATTCTGAATTTTTTAAACATAACGACAGTTGGTGGGAGCTGGAACTGAAGTGGAATAATGTATAAAAAAAAAAACAATGACACATGTGTTATATTGCATCACGTATATGAGAGATTTTACAAAAAAGATCTAACGAATATTAAGGACCTACCTTTCAAATGGTGGACCCATTCCATGCATACAAACTGAATATTGTGGACCATTTTACAATTGGACCCATTTTATGCGTAAATCTATTTTATGCGTAAATCTTACTAATATC